GTGAATAAGACCTGAAAGGTATTACACGTCGGTCCAATTATAGCTACGGCAGAGATGGCTGAACCACACTGAGTCATCACAATAATCCAAATCAACCTCCCAGAGCTTTACGAAAGGTGTATGCGCCAGGCAAGCACTGCAGTTAATGCTGCAACGGCATCGTAAATACAAACAAGCGTCGTAGTAATAATGCAGTCAACTAATGCATGCTAGAGTGTGTCTTAATGTGCAGCGCCATCATAATGACCCATTATGCAAGTATAATATGTTTTTTACATTTCAAAACACTTTACTTTGGTGTGCCCGGCGAGGCCGCGTTTCAAACACTGATGGTATTATAAAGTCTAATCAACCTTTCTTGCCGGCTAGAAGGATATTATCGAGCAAAGAGCAGTGAGCCAGAAAAAAACAAAAAAAAAAAAATTGCATTTTCAGGAGCCTTTCAGCATCCTCATTCAAAGGCCACACTCTGCTGCCGTACACAAAGCAGGCATGGGAGGGGGAGGATATCAAAGAAAGCCCTTTATTTTGGTCTTATCGGAGGCCTTTTTCTACAGTGACACTGTTGATTCCACCCCTATAAGAGAGAGCAGCCGTTACACTCTGATTGCAACATGAGGGACGGGGCTCTTTTGAACCTGAGAGGCATCCACCGGATATCCAGATGAAAAAAAGAAGGATTTGGAACTGTCGCTCTATAAATAGGCACACTGAGTGGAATCTTCACGGGGAAAAAAAATAAGCTGGTGCTGGTAAGCTTCACTAAACATGAATGTTGACTGGTTGTCAGGACACGGTCACATTGCAGAAATGCCCTGAAACGTCCAGCCACTGTGTTTTTATGTAATTGCTGCTGCCAGACTACTGAGCCGTATAAAGCAGGGGTGCTAGCTGTTGTTTCTCATTCAGATATTGACATGGCTGCAATGTTGGGATTGCACACCATCATGTAATACTATACAAACGAACACCACACACTTCAGATTAAGGGCGGGCGATACAGAAGGAACATAGTATCAAGATACCTGAAAATGTTTTTATATGACACATGGTATTCATCACCATATTTAGCTTTTTTCTAAGGTTTGTGAACGAGTGAGAATGAAATGCACCAGCGCTACATTAAAGCTGAACTGTGTAAGTTTGGGGGATTTGGAGACCTCTCTGGTGGAAATGTGTAATTGCACAAAACATGCAGAGCTGAGCAGATGAATATGACGATTGAAGGAGAATTAAAAGAGAACTCAGCTAAAACTGGTGAAGGACATGTGATCTGAGGATGTGAGAGGATTATCTACTATTATAATTATATTTTGCACAAACAATTGAAGAAAGAACAGTAACTGTAATTATAGAAAAGCATATTTTGACGATAACAATAAAACATAACTATCGCATCGCAATATCAGCCCCGGACAGACGTTTAGACTTGGCTGACATTTCAAAAAGACATCTGATGACACCTTTATTGAGCACAACGTTCAGGTGACGCTGGGTTGCTGCACTAAAACGACCAAGTTTTATTCATTTTACAGCAACTGAAACTGAATATTTCTCTGTGATGCTAATCGGCTGATATGTACACGAAAATACCGGATATCGGCATCGGCCCACAGTTCCCAATATTACCATATGACCACCCCTACAAACCCTACAAAAGATGTTTCTTCAAGGGTTCTTTTGTAAAGAAAATGGTTCAGTATAGAACCATGCATGCTCAAAGAACCATATGCATGATTAAAGGGTTTCTGCATGGTGGAGTGGTTCTTCAGATTGATGGAGAATGCTCCGTAGATGGTTTCTATATGCAACAAAAAGGGTTCTTCCATTGTTACATGCTTGACAACATAACAATATAAAAACCTTTTTGGTTCTATATAGAACCATTTTCTTAACTAAAGAACCTTTGAAAAAACATCTTTTTTAAGAGTGTAGTATAAGTAGCAGCAGCTTCTTAGCTACAGGTAGATTTGGCATCTAAATCTTTCTAGGCTTCACGTAGCCAAGGAGTCATCGTAAAAACATCACGTACTATTTATACAATGAAGGTTCATGTTAAGAACCCCTGGAGAACGACTGAGGGCCAGGCGAAGCAGTGGAGCCACAAATAAGCTCAGGACAAAAGAGAAAATGGCTGTATCTCCAAAATGGTAACTTTACAGGAGAAGGAAAAAACCTGCTTTACCTTTAATGTAAGTCAATGGAACCAGACATTTTTCCCAGTCATTTTGGGTCGTTTCTTTTGGTCCATTCATCACAAAATTTACCCACAATGTAAAGGACAAGAGGTTTTTTAAAATTATGTAAAAATATTTAAAAAATGACAAAAACGGAGATACAAGGTTTTGTTCCAACAGCAGCAAAATGCAAGTTGAGTGAAGAAGTGAAAACAGTCTTTCACAATTCCACAGAGACGTAACTCCACTAAGAATCTGGGAAACAAAAACACAGATTATGAGAGCATTTGAAGAACATTCTACAAGGCTGCAATTCTACTTTGACTCTGATAGAGTTTGGGAGGCACTGGGCAACACTGGAGGTTCTTGAGAGTTGATATAGCATACATAGTCTGTTGGCGAATTTCTTTCCAGTGTGTCTTTGAGACCCGTGCCTCCATCCAGCCACTGTGACACCTACTAGGGACTCAGTTCTTATCAAAATAGCCATTTGAGGAGAAATACCTCAAAGATGTCCAGTTAGCTGCTGGTTACTATGAACTTTATGCAGTAACTATACTGGATTTGTTTACAAAATCTCTGTAATTGGTACATCTTTGAGATACACACGTTCTTCAGTGCGGTAGAAGTGCTGATGACACCCGTACATAGCCAGGAAAGTGTGCTGTGACGTAATTTATCACAATACCGATAAAATATCATCACATCGCCCAACCCCAACTCAGACATGCGAACGTGTTCGAGAGCAACGTACTTGATTCGTATTTGCGAGTACAAGCCTAGAACAAGGAGGCCGAGCACAGTCGCAACCGAAACTGACACGTTTCGGGTCGGAGAGTATGAAAATCCTTGTTTGAGAGAAGGAGGGAAGGAAAGAAGAAAGCAAGAGCCTATTTAACTCGACTGAACTCACATAAGTCTAAAGCACAGCGTTGCATTTGATCAGCAAGGCTGGCACTTGTTCCCTAGGGGGCTATTATTTTCAGCTTGTGGAAACGGAATGCCACAGGAGGCTTGCTCCACCACAGAGCACTCTCTCTCTCTCTCTCTCTCTCTCTTTTCCTTCCATGAGTGATTCATTATCTTTGAATCACTGTGACGGAATGAAACGAGTGTGTCAATGCCCGTTCCCACCCAGCCAGCTCTCCCTTCTTCTCCCATGAGTTTCCCTCTTCTGTTAGATGCTGAGCCATCGCTGTTTTGAAGCACTCTTGAACCGCTCTCCATTATCAAATACAATAGATGCATTTGGGCTAATTTGCGTTCTGTAGGTCACTGCACGACGGAATCCCTCGAACCCAGAGTGGATTTTCCCCATTTCGAGACGTTCTCTGAGATTTCAAGGCAGTTACAGGAACTTGCCAGAGCAGTTTAGGGTGTTTGCTGCTCGGACGTAAGAACGTGAGGCCTCCCTTGTGGCCTTTTTGCTTGCTGTAGGCTAAAATGGTAAGCTGTCTGTCTTCACAGCACCATGACGACCAAAGACAAAACACAGTATCACATTATTTGGAGACCTGTAGTCCGTGTGTACGTACGCAGAACAAACGAACTGATGTCGTAGATGTGAAAGAGAGCCTTCGGTGCAACTATGCTGAGGATAAATCGCAGTGTTTTACAATCTGGCTCTTCACTGTGAAGCCATTATATAACCAACAGCCAGAAATAGTCCAGGCACATTTGTGTATTAGCACTACAATTAAGGTTGAAGGTTTCACCAGTTTTTTATCGAAATTGCAATTTCAAACAGTGCCTTTTTCAAATCGCAAGAGCTGCATTTTTATTTACAGCACTGTCTTAACTTGCCTATAGATGAGTCAGACCAATCAGAAGCAATCAAACACCTCTGAGCTGTGAACACTGGCAATAAACCCACGCCTAACTGACTGTCCGGCACACTACGTTCAGCGTTCAACAAAAAGTGGATATTTGGTCTTCTTGGCCAAAAATTACAAGCCAGGACCTTAATTTGGTAAAATTGGTAAAATAATCACAGTTGGACATTTTCCCCACATCATTCAGCCCTGATTGCATGAGTGAAGATGTTAATATGACCCTCTTAATGCATATAAGACGCATCTTCATCTTCATATGTGCTGTACTGAGCTAATGTAACCATGCTAAGGATTAAAACACACTGGTTTAGGAACTGGCTCCTACTGTTAGATCAATTGTCATTATGTAGCCTGCAGTCCATGCCATGGCCCCCAGTCATATTCATATCACATACAAAGTATGCTCCACTGTTGATAGAATAAGAAAAAAGCATGTGCAAGTCTACGAAGGCTTCCATTCCTTAAATTGTCTACTAGCAGTAATTCAAGGCCACTGGAACCAAAACATTCTTGATCTTCAAGACTGTACCAAAGCCCAGTCACCTTGGCTTACTGCTACACTCTTAAAAATACGGGGTTCTTTGGCAACGAAGAGCCACTTTTCTCTAAAGAACCGTCCAAAAATAATTGAGATTGGGGGTGTGAAGTATTTACACAATGCAAAAGTTCTACATCAGCTAAGAAAGGCAGAAGAACCCATTATTTTTAAGGGTGTACCAGACAAAGCCCAAAGTATAAGTGTCAAGAAATTCATAATCTGAGTCTACACCAAACGTGAGTTGGATTTGGCCTCCAAAACGTCAACAAAAGCCAAGTGTGCTGTGTGTTTAGAGTGCTGTGAAGTCATTTTTTGGCTTTAATGGCCCCTTTCTAACGTTGGGAAGGGTGGAGGGGTACCGGGGGGCGTCACCAAACATAGATATTCTACATCCCAAAAGCGTAAAAGTGGTGCCAATGCTAGCCGCGGAAGTCGCGCCTGTGGCATACTCACCCTCCTTGGATGGCCGCTTGACCTCGGCGCTCAGGTTGCACGCGTGCGCGGCGCGCAGCTGCGGCGTCAGGCACCCTTCCGTTTGGGGGTTTAAAGGCAACACCACATTGTTGAGCATTAACACGCTCTCCGATTCCCCGTCGCCCAAGTGCTGCGGGCAAGTGCATTTCGAGTACACAACTCCACACGATTCCACCGTCCCTTTCTCTCCCTTCAGGCAGTTCTCCAGCCACGTACATAGCACCTGACATCCGAACTGACTCGGGCTCGCCTTGTTCAGGACCACAAACTCCACCACAGACTTCTCCTCCTCCTCGGCGGCCTTCTTGGCGACCAATCCGTTGTCGTCGTAGGGGAACACCCGTCGGAGCTGGACGAAGTTTTTGTCGTAGTGCAGGAACACGTAGACGTTGGGGGCCTCGCACAGGTACACGATGGACTCGTTGTTCTTGAGCAGCTCGTTGATCTTCTCGTGGGAGAAGTGATCGAACTGGTAAACCAAGAGCGAGAACTGGGAGCAGCTTAGGTCGCGCTTGTACAGTTTCAGGTAGATGCTGTATTTGGTCGGGTCTGGGTTCTCCAACGTCCAAGTGCAGTTTGTGAAGTTCTTGGGAAACATCTCATTCACAGAGTAAGATCCATAAATAACTCCCTTGACCAGCGTGGAACACCAGAAATCTTGGGCACCGGTATATCCAAACATAACCAGGAGATAGGTGGAAAATATATAAATCAACAGATTACGAATAGCCTTCATCCTATGTCATTTGGCCTGCAAGAGAAGAAGAGACACACTAAGCTTCCTTCATCACCAACTCTGGACGGTGGAGAGAGGTAGAGAGAGAGAGAGAGAGAGAGAGAGAGAGAGAGAGTGAGAGAGAGAGAGGGAGAGAATAAGTACACATATATCACTGCTAAAACTGAAAAAATAAATAAATAAGCCAAACAAAAACAGGGCTACTACGCTAGATTGGCCATTTCACATTTGCTGTTATATCATGGACGAATCATTCTCTTTTTTTCCTGGGAGGAAAACACATTTCAGATAAACATTGCCACCTTGTGGTTCCTCACAAACCGAAGAAGAAGAACTTTGGACACCTGCATGTCCATTACGACCAAAAAACGACTGGTAAATCGGTATTCCGCGTGAAGCCCAGCCAATGAGTGGTGTTATTATCATTATCACTATATATTTTCATGTATTATCAACTGTAAACAAAGGGAAATCACGCTGTCTCCTGGTGAGGGCTGACAGCCTGAGGTCGGAAACAGACCAAATGATGACAGCGTGTGTAAGTAACCCACTTAGACTTCGAATTATTGCAGTTCTGGAGGGGAATAAAGGCATTTCCAGGAGCCGAACGTCAGCGATAACAGCGAGGCGCAGCTCTGCAGTGGCTGCATCCCATTCTGCACAGACAGACAGACAGACAGACTGACTGCCACGGGAAATTCTCAGGAAAGTGTCTCCATTTCACTGGCTCCACAGGCGTCGCGGCCAGCCTTCCTATCGTTATTTCGACACTTTTAGCCTGACCAAGGTTTTTCAAACGTGCAAACACACCCGCACGCCCACGGGAACTTCAGCCTCCGCTCGGCTACAACAAACAGCGAGGGGGGATATTCTCTCCTTTATGGCACGACAAAAAAAAAGAAGAGCGTATGGCGAAAGATTACTGAAGTGTGCGAGAGAGAGAGCGATGGAGATAGAGAGGGAGAGATGGTGGAGGAGGAGGAGGAGGAGAAGGAAGAGGGGGGGGACGCTCTTCGATGTCCTGATTGCATTAATCCTGCAGGCATTGCAGCTGTGTGTGTGTGTGTGTGTGTGTGTGTGTGTGTGTGTGTGCAGAGGCGTTCACATCACATCGCACCGCTTTAAGGGCGCACCGGTGTGCCAAACGCAGCACCAAGCTCTCCATACACCTCTCTCTCTACTCCCCCCCCCCCCCCCCACCCCACGTCTCTCTCGGGCTCCACTGCGCCAGGCCACCGCTTTATGGTGCCCTGCCGAAGGAAAAAAAGCAAAAGCCCCCTTTTAACAGGGCTCCAGCTCTTCATTTTAGAAGAGACCCTCCTCACAGCTGCCGCTGCTGCCGCTGCTGCTGGAATATGAACGGATTACAAGCGTGGCTTTATCTTCTCAGCCTCCAACACAACCACAGCTGTGTGTGCCAGGCAGGGCAGGTTGGGGTTTAAGGGAAGGAGAGAGAAAAAGGAGGAGTTTAAAAGATTCAGCACCTTATAATTTGATGAGAAACTGGCCAACACCACCCCCCCCCACCTTCACCACCACTGCCACTACCACCGGTACCCACCCCAACTACCACCACCACCACCACCACCCTCCTCCTGCTTAAATAATTAATTAATTAATAAATAAATAAATAAATAAATAAATAAAGACCCCTCTTAAGTTGCCCTTAACCCTGCAGGCTGAGCTCCTCGCCTGAAAAACTGACGTAGCATTAATCAAAAGCACAATGAAGTGCATGTGCCAGGCGCCTCGGAGCATCGAGAGGAGCTGCAACTTTGATTTAATGGGAGTTTGAATGGAATCGCAATAGGAGCCTCAATGATGCTGATAAAGATAACCCCCCCCCCCGCCTCCAATAATAATAATAATAATAATAATAAAAATAAAAATAGTATTTTACCTTACACTCCCGGACGCTATGGCTATTTCTCCCACATGCTTGACGAGCACATCCTTTCTAGAAAAGCCCAGGTGCGAAGAGGCTGCTGGCGTGCGGATCAGTGCTTCCCATCGCAGAGGAGGCGCGATGCGGAGAAGGAAGCAGAGCAACAAGACGCGCAGCAGCAGCAGGACGGTCAGCCAGTCAGTCAGCCGGGCAGCCAGTCAGTCAGTCAGTCAGTCAGTCAGCGAGGCGAAAGGCGCTGCGCTCCGCTGTGGATCATTTCTCCTCCTTCCTCCCCTTCTCTCTCCCTTTTTCCTCAGCTCCGACACAGAGAGGGGGACAAAGAGGAAGAGAGAGGGAGCAGAAAGCGCGAAAAAAAAGGATCAGGAACGTGGGAGAGAGAGAGAATGTGAAGGTATGTCTTCCAGTCGTGGGTGCGCTCTCCTCGCTCCTCTCTCCTCGCTCCTCTTCCCTGTAGAGATGGTGAAGCAGGGCAGCAGCAGAGCTCGAGCACCGAGTGTGGAGGGAGATGGGAGTCTCTCTCTCACTCTCTCTCTCTCTCTCTCTCTCTCACTCACTCTCTCTCTCTCGGCACTGGAGCTGCAATATCACGTCACTGCCACTAAGATAAAGCACGTATGGACGTCTCTCCTCTCTCTCTCTCTCTCTCTCTCTCTCTCTCTCTCTCTCTCTCTCTCTCTCTCTCTCTCTCCCTCCCTCCCTCCCTCCCTCCCCTCCTGCGCTCCTCTCTCTCTCTCTCTCTCTCTCTCCCCCCTTTTCCCCCCTCCGCTTTAGCACGCAGCCCCTCGCTCCTTCTTTTTGTTTATTGGAAATCAAAGCAAGCGACCCGCACGCACGCACGCACGCTCGTGCTCCCTTCTCCTCTCCTCTCCGCCACGCATGCCCACGCGGACTACAGAAGCGCATAAGCGCCGCGGATGACGTTTGTGGACCGCGAGCCGCGTGACCCTTCTCCCTTTTTCCGTGGACACAAAGCTGGATTTCTCCAAGAACAACGACGGGAGAGTTTTCACTGTTTTCATCGCCTTTTTTGGCACTTTTTCTTTCAAGGACGCCCGAACAGAACACTGGAGAACCTTGGAGAACACTTCTTCTTCTCCTCGTGTTGACTGGAGAACGTCTCTCTCTCTCTCTCTCTCTCTCTCTCTCTCTCTCTCTCTCTGAGTAAAGTTAGCCGCTCTTTCCCTGCACAAACCTACAGGTAGGATATTTTGATAGCTTAAAGGGGAACTCCACCCATTTTTCTAAATTTTGTGCTTGATTAAACGGCTAAGATGTAATCAGAGCGGTTCAGCGTGAAACGCTCCGTTCTAGATAAACTTACCGAGTCAGAACTGTTCACAGTGGTGGTGATAGGAACCAGACGTCCACCTCTAAAAGCTCCCTCACAGAAAGTTACTACATGAAATGGTTATGAATTCACTGCCTGATGACTGAGACACTGTTTTATGATAGTTTAGAGAACTTAAACTCCATTCATGGTGGAGGGATACATGCAGGGCGCTGTGAGGCAAAATAGTCCCCAGGGAAAACTTATTAATTCAGATTTTCCATCATCAACATTCATATAAACTCAGAGGACTCGTGTAGGTTCACTGGTGGTTCTGGATAGTAAATAAAATGTCTATATTTGTGTTGTAGTCATGGCGACCCCTGGTTCCTATCACCACCACTGTAAAGACCAATTCACACCAAACCACTCTGAATCTCTCTGTCTACATCTGAAACATGGAAAAATGCAGAAATTTTGAAATTTCAGTGGAATTCCCCTTTAAATCATCCTATCAGAAAATGCTACCAGTGTTAAAACTACACTCTTGAAAAAGATCCTCAAGGGCTGTTTAGTGAAGGGAACGGTTCTCTATAGAATCATTTCATGCTTAAAGGGTTCTCTGCATGGTGAAAGAGTTCTTCAGATTGATAGAGAATATGTATATGGTTCTATCTTTTTTTAAAGAATGGTCCTATGTAGCACCAAATAGGGTTCTGCTATTGGTACAACAAAGAAGGACCCTTTTTGATGCTATATAGACACATACAACACATTCTCCCTCGATATGAAAAACCAATTCACCATGCATAGAACCATTTAAGCATGCAGAACTCATGGTTCTAAAAAGAACCGATGCCTTTACTGAAGAACCCTTAAAGAACCATCTTGCGTACAGGTACATTTAGAACACTAGGTTACTGCACTATATTAATGATACAGACATGCTTGGTAAACTCCAAAAAAAAATGGTTCTTCAAGGGTTCTTTCATAAAGAAAATGGTTCTCTATAGAACCATAAACACTCAAAGAAACCTTTGCATGATTAAAGGTTCTTTGCATCATGAAATTGTTCTTCAGATAGATGGAGAATGTGTTGTATATGGTTCTTCGCAGATAAAGAGTTCTATATAGCACCCAAAAAGGTTCTTCTATTGCAACGACCTTGACATCGCGACAATAGAAGAACCCTTTTTAGTGCTATTTAGAACCACATACAACACATTCTCCACCAGTCTGAAGAATTGTTTCACCTTGCGAAGATCCATTTAAGCATACAAAGGGTTCCTTGAGTGTTCATGGTTCTATACAGAACCATTTTCTTTACTAAAGAACCTTTGAAGAACCCTCTTTTTTAAATGTGTACAGGAACATTTAAAAAACAATGAGTTACTGTGCTGTGCTAATGATGCACGCATGCTTGGTAAACTCTTAGAAAAGATGGTTCTTCAAGGGTTCTTTATTAAAGAAAATGGTTCTCTATAGAGCCATGAACACTCCAAGCATGATTAAAGGGTTCTTTGCATCATGAAACAGTTCTTCACATCAATGGAGAATGTGTTGTACATGGTTCTACACAGAACCTTTTTGAAAAGAGTTCTTCTATTGTGACAAGCTTGACATAAAAAATAGCAGAACCCTTTTTGGTGCTATACAGAACCATATGCAATACATTCTCCATCAATCTGAAGAACTATTCCACCATGCAGAGAACAATTTAAGCATGAAATGAGTCTATGCAGTACTCATGGTTCTAAAAAGAACCATTGTCCTTCCCAAAGAACACTTGAAGAACCATCTTCTTTAAGTGTGTACAGGAACATTTAAAAAAAAACACTGAGTTGCTGATACAAGTAATGCTTGGTAATCTCTTAAAAAAAGATGGTTCTTCTAAGGTTCTTTGGTAAAGAAAATGGTTCTATATAGAACCATGAACACTCTAAGAAACCTTTACATGATTAAAGGGTTCTCTGCATCATTAAATGGCTCCTTACACTGATGGAGAATGTGCTGTATATGATTCTACACAGAACCTGTTTAAAAAGTTCTATATAGTACCTCATAAGAGTTCTTCTATTGTGACAAGCGTGACGTTGTAACAGTAGCAGAACCCTTTTTGGTGCTGTATAGAACCACAACCATTTTACCATGCAGAGAATCATTTAAGCACGATTCTATGCAGAACTCATGGTTCTAAACAGAACCACTGCCTTTACTAAAGAACCCTTTAAAAACCATATTTTATGTGTGTACAGGAACATTTAAATTGATGCATTGATGCATGCTGAGTAAACTCTTAAATAATACGGTTCTTCACAGGTTCTTTGATAAAGAAGATGGTTCTATATAGAGCCGTCAACATTCAAAGAACCCTTTGCCTGATTAAAGGGTTCTTCGCATCTTAAAATTGTTCCTCACACTGATGGAGAATGTGTTGTGTATGGTTCTACACAGAACCTTTTTGACAAGAGTTCTTCTGTTGTGACCAGCTTGACATTGTAGCAATAGCAGAACCCTTTTTGGTGCTATATAGAACTATACACAATACATTCTCTATCAGTTTGAAGAACCATTTCACCATGCACCATGTGAAGGATTCCATGAGTCCATACAGAACCATTTTCTTTACAAAAGAAGCCCTAGTAAAGAACCACCTTGTGTAAGAGTGCAGGACCACTGGATGGGTGGGACAAATTGCTAGAGCACCGCAGTTAAAGCAGGTCGCTCAGCCATTCATAATGAGGACTCATGAAAAAGCATGACTCAGGCATGAGATATTAAATGGATTCATGCATTAATGCAAAAATAATCTGATTTTTAAAGTATTCCAGTGATTATATTTCAGGGTAAAGTGCAGTTGGGAGGTTTTTATTAATGTAATCTAACCCAGGCCGAGGAGAGTCCCTGTGTTTTATAGCTCTGCGCTGGACTGAATTCTCTTTGACTTGGCAACCCACCGTAATGAGGACTTTTGGGATCATTTTGGGTTTTTTTATCCGTCGTCCGAGTTCTGGCTATGTTTTTTTGCGGTTGGTGCTGATGGATGCTGTGATTTATGTGTGCAAACTATTTTAAAAAATGTATGCAATACAATATAAAATGCTTTGTTTACAAACAAATGCCGTGTATCGTTGTGTGACAGATTAAACGAGGGAAGGTGTGAACTACATTATGCATTGCACTGCATTAAAATGCATTAAAAACACAAGTGTTTAAGTGTTGGACTAGATATCAGTGCACATGCGCAGAATAGAACGAGCTGGAACACTAAATGAGCTGGAACGGGTGATCCCACGATCAGGGTGACGCAGCCAGGGAACACTAATGTTTAAATGTATTGTATAAAATTACTGTATTTTTATTATTTTTTATTCTTTTTCATTATTTTTCACACCTACAATGGCTCAATATTGAATAAGCAAACATTAACGCAAACATACGATTTTTAGTTTTTACATTTTTAGGTAAAGCCTAGTTGTAGTGGACATTTGATGCAAAAAAAGACTTGAAAATATTTTAATTACTATATTTTTAGGTAAAGCCTAGTTGTAGTGAGCACTAATGCAAAAATAAGATTTTGAAAATATTTTAATTTTTATATTTAAATGTAGTTTAGTGGACATGAATGCAAAACAAATAAAAATATTTCATTTTTTATATTTTTAGTTAAAGTAGTTGTAGTGGGCATTAATGCAAAAATCTTTTTTTAAATATTTTATTGTTTATATTTATATCTAGCTGTAGCGGACATTAATGCAAAAACACGATTTTAAAACATTTCAATTTTTATAATTAGGTCTGGTTGTAGTGGGCATTAATGCAAAAATAATATTAAAAATGTATATATATATATATTTTTAGGTAAAGCCTAGTTGTAGTGTGCAATAATGCAAAAATACAATTTTAAAAATCTTTTAATTTTTATTTTTTGGCTAAAGCCTGGTTGTAGTGGACATTAAAGCACAAACAACATTTTTAAAATCTATTTTAATTTTTATATTTTAAGTTAAAATGTAGTTGTAGTGGACATTAATGCAAAAATAAGATTTTGAAAATATTTTTATTTATATTTTTTAGTTACAGCCTAGTTGTAGTGGGTGTTAATGCAACAATAAGAATTAATTAAATTTAAAAAACTTTTTAGGTAAAGTCTAGTTATTTTGAGCTGGGAGGTTTTCATTAATGTTTGAGTCACTTATCTAAAACAGGCACATAGGCTGTTGTTAAGGACACTTTACCTACATAGAAAATGTATTTTACCTTAACATACATATTGGTAAGTGTCTTATCAGTGGAACTCAAATGGCTCCCTTACCGTGGAACCACCAAAACACAACTTGCTCATGTCATTGGACCAGAAGACACA